TCCACTGTACTTATTGTCAGCATTTGAGGAAAGTGACAATTTTCCTTATATGGCCAGTTAAACAAGAGCACAACACCTTATATGTGTCAACCAAGATGGGTAAACAAAGTATTTGCAAATGGGAATGGATGACCTCTCTAGAAAACTCTTGAATCAAGGAGAAAAGTTAGAATCCTTTTTTATCTGGGCTACCTCACTTGTATGAAAAAGTAGCTAGTGAACAAAATCTGGCTCAGTAAGCAGCTATTACGTTAAAAAGTAAGCAATGGATTACAGTGTGCAAATGCGTAAGGGGAATATTTTGCTTTTATCCAAAACATGATGATCAGATTTATAATCTCTCTTCCAATCTGGAATGAGAAGGATGTAGAAATGGTGACTAAATGCAAATCTCGCAGCATCTGTAATCATTATGAAGATGTTCAGGCTGCCTAATTTAGGGAAAATGTGCATAAGAAGAGACAAAACAATAATGGCACAGAGAAAATATACCAAGCACCTTTCCTCAGCATGACCTAAAAAAACACAGGCTGGGTGGTAAAGTTGAAAGGTAATACTCTCAAATTAACAGATTTTTTTTTTTTTTTTAATTTAGTGCAATGTATAATTATGCCTTCAAACTCTGTATAGTAAGAACATCTGCAATTACACTGGGTGAAATTAGGACAATAACTCTGAACACTTCATAGCATACACCAACCACATCAAGCATCAGCAAGGGGTTAGCTAAAGATTGACCCAACAGCAGAATATATCTACCTGCTGCTCACAGAGGGTTATTTATTTCTTATCTGAATTAATTTGAACTGGTTAATACAAGAACAGGTCTCAGGCACAATCACAGGTAGTTCTTGGATGGGGAAAGCTGGAAACCAAAAGCCAATAGTGTACAAAGTCCCAAGTAACACAAACAAAACATTTTGGGTTCACAGGAAGAGGCCATTTTTTCTTACTTGTTTTTGCTTTAGCACCACATGTACAGATTGCTAGATGCTGCTTTTACTCAAAGATAAAATCCTTGAGCCTTGAATAACATTTTTCTTGTTATTTGTCCTATCTAAAGCTAACTGGAGAAACAGTGATGAAATCTTAGTGAACTGTAATTCCTTTTTTTTTTCACGAAATTCAATAAATAAAAACCCTGACATCAGAATGTCTCAATACTTTTAGGACTGTACATTTCAGGTTTTTACCACTCAAATCTACCTGCAATATTACAATATTAAAAAAAAAAAAAAAGTTTCTAATGACTCTTAAAAGCCCCCCACCCCAATCTTCCTTCACTGAGAATTACGAGATTCTTTTGTTTACTTTTAATTTGGAAGAATACTCAACTGCAAGTTCCTTCAGGAAATTAAATTATCCCTTCTCTACTATAGCTATCAGAAATTAAGCATCTGAGCGGAAACGTTACATGGTCACCCTTCTCAGCTTTAGAAAGCTATCGGTGGAGGCTGAGTTGCAAGACTGAATGAAGATTGCATTCTTGGCTACACCACTGAAACATAATGAAACAGTGCTGTCTGACATAGCTCCTGTTCTACACATGGTACACATTTCGGGCTCAATCTGTCTGCCCAAAAATAGGTACAAAAAAAATTTAAGATGTTCTAGATTATATCCACAGGGCTGGCAAGCACAGCACAGGACAAGTGGGAGAGCCATGCGCTTCTGGAGAGGCAGCTGGAGACTAGGCATGATATTTTTGCACTTTAAAGATGGCACTATACACCTATGCCTTGGCAAGTGTGTTGAGCCCTTACAGTTTTTAATTTTCTAACATGTAAGTAAGGAAAATGGAAAAAATAAAGTAAAATTGTAGCTGTGCAATACATAGTTGATATTGTTTTACAATTTGCAGGTATAGTCTTGAAGGACATTCACATGCATTCTGCCAGTTTGACTAACCCTGTCACTTAGTTTTTCAAAGTTCCAGGCTTTATTTTCAGCTGTCAAATTCAAGAAGTTCAAGGCCTCAGACTCCCTCTTTACTCCTACATTCTTGTAGTTTAAGGTTGGGTAACACAAAGCCACAAATCATATACTTGTCAGCTTATTTCTACATATCCTTTTTTTAAAGATTTCTTAAGAATTTGCCAGCTGGCTGATCACAAAACAATGTAACACTTTTGAACAAGCCACTGGCCAGATTCAAACTCTAACAGAGGTGATACAAGAGATAACAGAGATACGAGGTGTTTTGATGAGGTAGGAGCCACAGAGGCTCCCAAGAATTATCACAAGGGAATTGAGGCTTCTCCCTCTAATAAGGTGACGGGACCAGCAGCCCAGGTCAAGTGCATCTACACCAATGCACACAGCATGGGCAACAAACAGGAGGAGCTGGGAGCCATCCTGCAGCAGGAAAACTATGATACAGCAGCCATCACAGAAACGTGGTCGGATTCTTCACATGACTGGAGTGCTGCAGTGGACGGCTACAAACTCTTCAGGAGGGACAGGCAAGGAAGAAGAGGAGGAGGGGTTAATAATGGTGATGATAGGGTTGAGTGTTTGTGGGTAATAATCAGGGGGAAGACCAGTAAGGCAGATATCATGGTGGGAGTCTGCTATAGACCGCCCAACCAAGATGAGGAGGTAGATTAAATATTCTGCAAGCAGCTAGGGGATGTTTCGCTATCACGGGCTCTCATTCTTGTGGGGGACTTCAACTTGCCAGATGTCTGCTGGAAATATAACACAGCAGAGAGGAGGCAATCTCTGAGGTTCCCAGAGCATGTGGAAGACAAATTCCTGACACAGCTGGTGAGGGAACCGACCAGGGAAGGTGCCCCACTGGACCTGTTATGCACTAACAAAGAAGGACTGGTGAGTGAAGTGGTAGTTGGAGGCCACCTCAGGTGCAGTGATGACGAAATGATAAGAGTTTTTTGTTCTTGGAGAAGGCAGGAGAGGGGTCAGCAGGACTGCCACCTTGGACTTCAGGCTAACTTTGGCCCCAGTACAGGGTGGGGGTTGACCTGCTGGAAAGCAGCCCTGCAGAGAAGGACCTGGGAGTCCTGGTGAATGACCAGTTGACCATGAGCCAACAATGTGCCCTTGTGGCCAAGAAGACCAATGATATCTTGGGATGCATAAAGAAGAGTGTGACCAGAAGGTCAAGGGAGGTTCTTCTCCCCCTCTACTCTGCCCTGGTAAGGCCACATCTAGAATATTTGGCCTGGGTTCTGGGCCCCCTAGAATCTGGGTTCTGGGCCCCCCAGTTCAAGAGAGATAGGGAACTTCTGGAGAGAGTCCGGTGGAGGGCTACTAAGGTGATTAAGGGGCTGGAGCATCTTTTTTATGAGGAAAGGCTGAGAGAGCTGGGTCTGTTTAGCCTAGAGAAGACTGAGAGGGGACCTTATCAATGTTTATAAATATCTAAAGGGCAAGTGTCAAGATGGGGCCAGACTCTTTTTCAGTCGTGACCAGCGATAGGACAAGGGGCAACGGGCACAAGCTGGAACGCAGGAGGTTCTGCTTAAACGTGAGGAGAAAAATCTTTACCAGAGAGGCTGTGGAATCTCCTTCTCTGGAGATGTTCAGAACCCGCCTGGATGCACTTCTGTACAATTTGCTCTAGGTGAACTTGCTTTGTCAGGGGAGTTGGACTAGATTTCCAGAGGTCCCATCCAACCCCTACAATTCTGTGATCTGTGATGAGCACAACAGACCCTGGTGCTTTCACAGTTACAGATGATATTTCTTTTTTTTTCTGGTTGAATGTCACTATTTGACACTACACTCCATGATAAATAAGAGACACAAGTATAATATTTTTTATCCCTAATGACTCTCACAGCATACTAAAAATTCTTATTTCTTTCATGATCAAATTTCACTCTGAAATTATGAAGCCATGATTCAGTGTCTTTAAAGGAAGACCCAATTTGACCACTACGCTCTAAATATGTAACCAAATAATGTAAATACATATTTTTATTTAAATTTTTTAAATATTCTTTATGGCCTTTGTGACTGCTTCATCTACATTCCTCTTCCATACACTGGTTTGCAAAATTTCAATACAATTCATCCAACAGACATGCTAAACAAGATATGTGTTAGTGAATTTCACTTTTTTTTAAAAGCTATTCCAAGACAGCAGGTATCTGGTGTAAGATAAGGTAAACAGAATCCATACTAACTTAATTGCAGCAATGTTTTGTAGTCAATTGTTACAAAAAATTGTGAGCAAGTATCACTGTTTAAATGAACCATATAGTAAACGAATGTCACCAGAGTCTGAGTTTGCTTTCAGAATTAATGTTTAAGTGAAAATCTTGGGTACTAACACAAGCAGTTAGTAATTTCTTGTGGGTCTGAATATTGCAAAAATTATTTTAATTTCTTCATAAGAAAAGCATTAAAATTTCATGAGAAAATTGCTGATCTTAAAAATGTTGTATGACGATGACATTCACTGCACTATCCATTGGTTTTTTGGGGATCCTTACCCAAAGGATAAGGCTTTGGGGATTCTTCCTCTCTTCAGTTTAATAATAGATAACCGTGCATGGCAAACGACTGAAAGCATTTGACAAATGCAAACAAATCAAGGGTCAGTTAAATATATAACAAATAATAAATATATGGAAAAAATGCCCAAATTTTGTTGCAAATAGTGAAAAAATATTTTTGAATAGCCCAGATTTTAATATCATAAATACAATGTATTGTGCAACTAATGGAATATCAAATGTTAGTAAATATTAAGTAAAATAAAGACAGTTCAATTCAGTTTAACAACTACAATTTTGATTTTTTAAATTATTAAGGCAAACTCAATTTGGAGTCATGCAGACAAATTTTACTGCTATCAAAAGACTTTGTTTATATGAAGGCAGAATTTAACTGAAAATGTTTCCAAAAAAAAAAAAAAAAAGCCAATTCGAAGGTTTTGTCTATCTAGATTGCTCTAGTGTTATGCTGTAAATCTACAAAACCCAGAACATTGTACATAGAAAAAGTGAAGTTTTTAGAAATTTAAAATTACTTACAAGCTGCTCTGACTTTACACCGTAGAGCTGAATGGTCTTTGCCACATTTTTTGCCACAGCTAAACTCAGGTCTGGATCAACAGCAGCCACATTTAGCTCACTAGAAGCAAAGATTACAAATCTTTAATTAACAACTAAACAGTGCTGTATTTAATTGATATTGAATTAACTATGAATACGTAGCTACATGGCATATCAATTTAGAGAGAGTAACACATACAACCAATTCTTTCTAAGTAGCATAATTCAGTTTACAATTTAACAAGTCATTTGGGAATTTTATGTGCAGTGTTCCTATTCTAGTAAAAATGAGCAAAGTTTAGGAATGACACTTCAGTATGAAATCACTATTAGTAAGTCATTTAAAAATATTGACTGCAATTAACTACACTCAAGCTTTGGCAGCAGCCTTCAAACATTACAGGTGAATACACAGTCATTCAACTCTAGAATTACATGAGCTCTGCAGAAATACCCAGGGGATGCCTTAGCTTGACACAACTAATAGGCTGTGTTTTAGGCAATCCTTTATAGTAGTGTAAGCCTCAAAGGAATGACAGGGAACAGAAGGAGAAGACTTCTAAATCACTTCCAGTATTTCTTATTTATGGAATCCCCAGATCTCCATCGGTTGGGGCCAGTATTCATAAATGTTCTACTGAAAACAGACAAGCTCTCATGAGACCCCACCTGGAGTACTGCATCCAGTTCTGGAGCCCCCATCACAAGAGAGACATGCAGCAGTTAGAACAAGTCCAGAGGAGGGGCATGAGGATGATCCAAGGGCTGGAGCACCTCTCCTATGAGGACAGGCTGAGAGAGTTGGGGCTGTTCAGCCTGGACAAGAGAAGGTTCCAGGGAGATCTTATAGTGGCCTTCCAGTAGCGCCCCCCCGAAGGGGATACAGGAAAGCTGGGGAGGGACTTTTCATAAGGGCAACTAATGACAAAACAAGGGGAAATGGGTTTAAGCTGAAAGAGGGGAGGTTTAGATTAGATATTAGGATGAAGTTCTTCACTGTGAGGGTGGTGAGACACTGGAGCAGGCTACCTAGAGAAGCTGTGGATGTCCCCTCCCTGGAAGTGTTCAAGACCAGGCTGGATGAGGCTTTGAGCAACCTGGTCAAGTGGAAGGTGTCCCTGCTGATGGCAGGGGGGTTGGAACTAGATGATCTTTAAGGTCCCTTCCAATTCAAACCATTCTATGATTCTATGATAAACACAGGGACCATCATGTTGCTAGTGATGAGATTAACCTCTCCCAAGAACTGGAGAGACATTAGGCAGCCCAACATAGGAATAACCTTCTCCAAGAATTCTACAGGGCCCCAAACACCATTAGCTAAAGGTCACTCCGGAAAACTCAGCTGAAATTTCATAATATTCATGTTGTTTTCCTTTCTCCTCTGCAGGGAGCAAAATAACATCAATAACCACACCAATAGGCACGTTCTCAACATCTGCAAATCCTAGTCACAAGTACAGTGTCAGTATTTAATATTATAAACACACACAGTTACTGTGAATACTGCCCATCATTTTCAGACGGCATTAAACAGAGTAGTCCTTACCAAAACCTTATGAGGGAAAATACACTATTGGTAATTTTGCAAATTCTACATACAATAGTCATCTTTATCTCTTATCTTGCTGTTTCACTCTGAACAGAATATTTACATCACATATTATCACTTCCAGCCAAGCAACTATCATCTTCCTTTTGACACAGTCAGAACACTTAAGATACCAGACATTTACAACATGTGTGAAGTTTCTCTTCCTGATGTTTTGTGCGCTTAAACAGTAAAACTTAAATTAAAATTTCAGCTATTCCAGAAAAACAAAATACAGAAAATAAATAAAATTTATAGTAAATTATAAATAACAATAAAGAGGTGATTATTCCACTGTATTCAGCATTGATGTGGCCTCACCTTCAATACTGTGTGCAGTTCTGGGCCCCACAATTTAAGAAGAATGTTCAAGTACTAGAATGCCTCCAGAGGAGGGCAACAAGGCTGGTGACAAGGCTGGAAGGAAAGTCTTATGAGGAGCAGCTGAGGACTCTGGACTTGTCTAGTTTGGACACAAGGAGGCTGAGGGGTGACCTTATTGTTTTCTACAGCTTCCTGAGGAGGGGACATGGAGGAGGGGAGATGCTGATCTCTTCTCCATGGGATCCAGTGGCAGGACACTGGGAATGGTTCAAAGCTGCGCCAGGGGAGGTTTAGACTGGACATTAGGAACCATTTCTTTACCAAGAGGGTGGTCAAACACTGGAACAGGCTTCCTAGAGAGGTGGTCGGTGCCCTAAGCTGTCAGTTTAAGAGGCATTTGGACAATGCCCTTAAGAATATGCTTTAACTTTTGATGAGTCCTGAAGCGGTCAGGCAGTTGGACTAGATGATCGTTGTAGGTCCCTTACAACTGAAATATTCTAGTCTAATCTATTCCATTCTATTATAAATCCTGACTTAATTTTTACACTAACCTGTTTTATAATCAGAGAGTAATAAATCTTTTACTGCTAAGAAAGTGTCATTTCTAAAATTGTAACTTATGAGAAAAAACATGTTGAAGATTACATTTTGCAACCTATTATATGTGCATACCTGGCTATAGTTTTAATGATGCTGTCAAGCTCGTCAGAAGAAGGAGGATTCCGACCTCCAGGAGGGAAGACAAGATTGATGGGATCAAAGAGTCGAGATAAGGATTTTGACAAATAAGCAGCTTCATATTGTTGCAGTGAATCTTTCAAGGCCTTTTCTGGACTGTGGATATAAGGCAAAATTACTACATTTTAAATTAAAATATCCAATAGCATTGAATCTTTCCAGACCATACAAATTTTGCAGTATCAAACCTGGTTTTCTTTCTGCTCTTTAAATGTATGCACTTGAAAATATTTTCATGGTGTATAACATATTGCTTTTCATTTGAACCATGTAACTAATCAGGGAGTCATTCTGTGTAGTTCAATACAGTTCTTAGCACTTTCTGTAAGACTTCTGTGGAACTCCTAATTCAATGTGTTCTTGAGACAAACAGTGCTAAAAACATCTGCAAAATAACAGCAAGATATACAGAACTGCAATGAAAGATATTCACATATTTCATTAGCAGATAGCTTGTACTCAATGTATTTTTAAGAAGTGTATCTCCTGGTATACATATGTGTATAGAAAGCTTCACATAGAAAGACTCTTCTTAAATTTACCTTTAATAAGCCTCAGTCTTTAGTATTTCTGTTTGTGAAAATGAGTAAACAGTAGCTCTCTCATAACACTCTACCTCATTGTCAGAAGTTTGGTGAACTTTGGACTTTGCTTCCATTGAAGTCAATGAGAAGTCTCCCACTGACTGCTCAGGAACATATTTAAGCCAATACAAATCTCATATAAAATATTCATTTTATCTTACATAAGTCTAGAAGTCCTAATAGACTTGATGAGTCGGTTTCAGTTTGATCTTTCTGATATCTACCACTCAGATCATGTTTATTCTACAATGTATAAACATAAAAACTGTGAATCATAACAAACTGAGCATTTGTCACACTCCAATGATTGCAGTATCATTAAGAAAAAGCTACTGCTGTAGTCGCAACACATACAAAACTGATTTTTCATCATTCTGCTTTTTTTTTTTCACCCAAAGATACAAAAAGATAAAATTAGTTCCAAAGTCAGGGACTTTGTAAAAGACAAGATAATCTAACACTGTTAATTACATAACCTAATGAAAATTCTACAGCGTTAGTGCTAAATAGTGTTAAAGCAATAACTACAAGAGGAAAAAAAAAGCCTTTAAAATTTTCCCGCTCTGGCAATTTGAATAACACTAAGTTCTTAAAAATACTCTGTTTTCTTGCAGGGTGTAAAGCTTTACATTTTATCGCCTTACAATTTATAATACATACTCATAATCTGGTTTTTTTTGCATGAATATGTCCTGTGTATCTTCTTCCATTTGTTGCAGTTCAGCAAAGAGATCAGCAGTTCCACTTGTGTTAAAATTCCTCTGAATATTTTGACTATATTGTTGCAGGCGCTTCCACAAGTCATTATAAAGCCTCAGTAATTTAGGGTATTCTCCTTCAAAAGCTTGTTTCAAAAACATAGAGGCTGCAAAATAAAGCAGTAAGCAATATACGTTGCTAAGTTCAAACTAATTTTTTGATTCATATAAACAACCTCTGCCCTTGCATTTATATAAATGAATTATATACAATGTTACACTATCTTTAATACTAATAATGTAATAGTTATAATTAATTTCAAAGTGGCATGAGCTATCACATTAAATGCAGTTGACAAAGGTACGTATCTAAAGCACCAGCACAAAAACCACAATTAGAAGACAACATGGAGAATGTATTTTGTACAAAAAAGACACTAATGATGGTCATTAAAGGTTTGGTATGAAACTTAATTATTACTATTATCATTCATTTATGTCCAAAGTGTGATTAGATCTCTCTAAATCTAGAGATTTTCTAACAATAGCTTGATGGGGAAAAATGTGGGATTGTGCAACTTTGGAGATACCAATTTAAAACAGACAAAGATAACTTCTATGGTCCAAAGTATTAAGAAATCTGATGAGGGAAGCATATGCTTTTAAACACACCTCTTAAAACAAAGTATCTAAAATGCAATTCCTAAACTTGTCAAACAAAGAATGACAAAGCCAGAAGAAAAATCAGCATTATTTTCAGCCTTTAAAGGCTTGCCACAAGTAACAGGAAATGAAACAAATGTACAACTGTTTTAGCAACTGATGTTAATCTTGATCTAACATCACTCATACTTTACGGATTTCCCATTGCATTAGGAGATTAACACTATTCCATTCATTCATAGGTTTTTCAGGTTCCAGACATCTGCCCCATATCACCTAGCCTATCCTTTCAACTCAAATATATTCTTATTTTGAATACCACAGGATTCATATTTGTTAACAAACACAGAGTTATTTTAGGTCACCAAGTTATGTTTATAAAGATTGTCCCAACCTCACAAAAGCAGGTCATGATCTATTATCGACTCTGTAAACTGCCATGAATTCCTATTTTTACACTATTGCCTAGTCTTTCTCTGATCTATATGAACCAGAGATCTGTACTGATGTCAGTGGATTCAATCACTTAGAATTTATGTTAAAAATGATCATTCCTGTATAGATGGATCACTTAAATGAAAAAGCCCACTCGCTGTAAGCTTTGTTTCCCCAAAACTCAGCTATAGCAAAGTAAAAACATCATTCACAGTTCAAAAATGCAACCGCTCCCTCTAAGCGTTCATAGAGAACACATGACCAAAAATCATAAGTAATAAAATATTTTTGAATAGCTGTCAGACAAAGTACTGCTGACAAAATGTAAGAGTTCCCTTACTTCTGAAATGTTGATGGATCACATTAACTGATGTCACAATTTTACAATCTTAAAACCGAGCGTTGACAACAAGTAGCACATGTTCGGTTTGAACATGTGAGATCCTGGGTATGTACATACTGCTGGTTAAAGTAATGAGTAAGGCAAACAGTAAAATTAGTATGTTTTAACACAAGATTAATACATTTGCTTTTGGGATCATCTAGTTACTTAGCAACCACTGAACATGAATCAACCAGCTAGTTCCTCAAAATTATATTGCTGCTATAAAGCCTGGAAGGACCAAATTTTGAAGGGCCATTGCAATAGCTGAGATCACAAAGATAAATAAAAATCTTTTGTGTCATATCTGCATGTGCAAAATATTAACTTTATACACCGTATACGAACAAGAAAGATGTATTTATGAAAGCATCAAACTCACCTGGGCTTATGATCCAATTGCATACTACATTAGCATGTACTGGTAATAGCACTGTCTTATGGTTATACACGATTTTTTACTTAATATTCCTGGATTGTATCTGTCATTTATGTATTACATATGTACTTAATATTGTGTATAGTCAGAACATTAGCCATTTATCTAGACAGAATTTTGAAGAAACTAGACTCCTACTTATAACGGTATCCAAAAATGGCTAAAATTAGATTTTTACAACTAAACAGTGTTTAAAAAGAAAAGACTATAAGAACTGCTTTTTAAAATCAAATTACTATTTTTTAATTTGGCAAACCCCTTCACTTTGGAAAGTATAATGTACTACTATTCCACAAATTTCTACCTCCACATACAGTTGCAAAAATATGTGTTTGTTATTAGATAATGACTACTTAATGAAGTAGAAAATATTTCTTTTTGAAAATTCAACCATAGCTTAGGAGGACCACCCTGTCTGGTTACAAACCCGAGAAGTTTTAAATTCACAGACCCCACACTGAGTGAACCACTGCTATAGTTATAGTAGAAGAGATAACAAACAAAGGGCTTATTGAAATGAGAGATTCAAAATATCTATAGAACACATTACAAATAATTTATATTGAATACTTACAGTCTGTTGCTGACTGAAACTGAGAGGAAAGTGTCTGAGTTACTGCAGTCCAAAATTTGTACAAAATATCAGACTGTCCATCCTGATAGCAAGGGACAAAAGAAATACAAGTTTCAAAACATACTCTTTTCAAAGAATCTTAAAACAATGCAAATTCTCCCAGTCAAAGTTGTTCTACCATCACTGAAAATAAAAACGAAGTAAATTAAAGCTGAGAAGTTTTTCCTCAAGTTTAAAGCTAGAAAAAAATACTGGACGGAACAAAAATAAAAGCTTCAGTCTTCTCTCAAATGGAGTATTTTCCTTTAAGTCTGAGAGAAATGCTCCTAGCTCTCTAGGGGCATGAGTGTAGACCAAAGCAGTATCCCTCAGGAATCATGTTAGAAAATCTCTTTGCATTGCAGTGACCTTCTCATTTCGTGGGGGTTCTCATGCTGACTACATCACAGCAATTATTGTTCCTGCCATTACAACACACTTGCAAACACCAGCCAGGGACCAAAAACAGTGCATGCTGCTCTGCTTCACATGAAACACATTCCTATTTCTAAAAACATAAAACACATGAAAATACAGTGAACCTCACAGCTGACTCTTCACCACCTTGTGTCAACAAGGCTTGTTGTCTGAAGTGGAAACAAGGTAGCATATTCTTGCAAAAAAGACATACAAGAAATAGTAGCCTGTTTCCTTACTCCCCCCAACATCTTGCACTTATGCTCAAGCATTAAAGCATGACTTTGTTTTCTTTTTTGCTTTCTTTCTATCTGTGTGTTTGGGGTAGAAAAAAATTACAAGAGATGATGATGAGCATCCTGCCCTGCCCACTAGCTAGATACTCGGAAGTCTGTCCAGTGTTTTCATGGATAGGAGGAGCTCGCTATGGACAGAATGGTTTTCTTCATTGCATGGTATACATGTAATGTATTGACTGTACTGTATAAATTAAACAGTTTGTCCAAATCATTCTAGTAATGATAACTAGCAAAAAGTGCTCAGAATGAAAGAGTGAAACAGCCAGCAGTGATGAAAAATGTCAGCAATTCTCAGGATCTGGCCAGCACCTGGCTGTTTCTATCCTGACTCACTTTTGAAACATCAAAGCACACAACATCACAGCTAAAGATGGGTTTAAGCAAAAGGCTCAACACTGAAATCACTGTCGAAGAGGGATGCATTTTCTCCGCTTTCCTTTTGGCACTGCCAGTGACTTGACTACAAGGAAAAAAATAAAACAAAACAAAACCAAACAACCCTAGTTCTTGTTAATAACACAAACCCTTTTAAAGTGTCAGTTCAACATCTGCACTGCCCAGCACCACAAAAAGGAGATGAGCTATTAAATATAGAAGTCCATCCACTCCAAACTGACTTACTACTTAAGATGACAAAGGAAGAAAGAATGCACTCTAGTCACTTTGCATTGGCAATAACATGCAGAACAATGAAGGCGTTTAGAATGTCAACCATTAACAGGGTACCACTGCATCCTGCTTGAAGATCTAGTCATTGAAAGACTGCAAGTTCAAGCTCAAGTTTCAGTTCCAAAACTATCATCTTAAATAACTGACAAAAAACCTGAACAGTAGTCAAAGGTACACTTAGGTATTTAATTTTTTCTTTTTTTAAAAAAGATTATCAGAGAGAATGCTTTCACAAATTCTGAGATTAAATGAGGAATTCATCCAACCCTACCCCTTATCTCTAGAGATATTAAAAGAAAGATAAAATTTATGGATTCTGTTCAAAGTGAGAGAGAACACCTTTTACGCTGTTGGACTCATACTTGTAAAATGCAAGCGAATAAAACTAAAATAAACTAGGATGATGGAATCTCATTTTTGATTGCTTGAGGACACTGATGGATTTAGAAACTGAAGTAACTTATTTTATAGCTATATTTGTATTTTCTGTAAAATTGTACTTGATTTTCATAAATGAGCAAAGTAAAATTATATCAATGATTCTGAAGGTGCACTGCATAAAGTATCCTTGGGTTTTGGCAAATTTATTACTATAGCACAAATGTGAAATTACTCAGTTCTTCATTTCACAGTTTCACATTCAAAATATGAAAACTATTATAAAACAAATGGCCTTTCATATCAACTATAGAATACATAAACTTTCATATTCTCTATTCCAACCTGGAACAATGTTTGCCTACTCGGCATAGTAACTCAATTAAGTTTCTAAATAATCTAATGGAGGTGGAAAAATACTTACAGAGCACTTTCAAACAACTTTTTTTTCATTACTGTAATCACCATCTACACCTCTGCCATAGCCTCAGCAGAAAATGCAATGATGAGAAGTCTTAAAAACAAACTTGCATGTAGTACCTCCACATCAATATTTCAGTCTTAAATGTCAGCTTCAACGTGGTGACAAATAACTAACATAAATGTGACAACTAATGTTTTTTGTGAAAATACATTTGTATGCAACTATGTATATGCATATATTATATAAAGTCAGACATATATACATATGTACTCATGCCAGCATTTGCATAGTAGCCACAGCTGTACCAGTTAAGTGCCTGCCCATTTGCTTGTGTCTTCTGACCTGGGCAAATGGTGTTCATTAACTGTATCAGAATTTTATAGTGAATAAGGCCCTCACACCTCAGCTAACCAACTGTATTATGTGTGAGAAGAAACAGAGGAAAAAGCTACATGGAAAATTCCCTACTTCGCCATAGTTTTGGACCAACTAAAAATGCTATCTACGGAGCCATTACTGGCTGCTCCTATAATATAAGATATGGTGTTTCACTTTGTCCAGCGTTGGGATGCAGTCGCTCTGGAGGTGAAATATAGTTGCTGATTAACAGCACACAGAAGACCATGTAACAGTTTGTGGTAGGAACTAGAGAATACTGTTGCCTATGCATACACCAGGGGCTATTTAAGTGGACTGTAGCTACCAAAGTTGGAATAAAGCAAGGTGTTAGCATTAGATACTCCTGCTGGAGTAAAAGTGCCACATGCAACCATGAGCATCCAGAAACCATTTATTTATTCTGTTTAAACCTGTAATTTATTTTGCTTACACATCACCTCAATATATTATTTTCTTAAGTGTCTTTAAGTATCTCACTGCTTATTTTTTAAATAATGTATTCTAATAAAGATTACTTCTGTGCCCATAGATCACCACAAAAATTACAATTTAACTATTTAAAATATAATGTGCAATTCCATTTGACAATAATCAATACTAGCAAATGACATAAAAACGGGTAGCAAAAGAAGTGTTTTTCTCCAACGTAGCAATAACTTCTTCAAGGACTTAAGAAGACAGGCAGGATGAAGGTGGAAGAGAAAAGGGCAGCACTGCTTGCCTGAAATGTACACAGCAAATCTTCTGGCTCATCTTATTGTAATGGAAACTTTATCAGCCTTTCTCTATGCTTCATATAGCACTGTGAGCAACATCCCACAGAAAGTAACTGCTCTTTTGGGCCTTTCACTTTCAGAAAATGTCATCTAGCTAAAATTGCATTCTTGTCATCTTCCCATCTGTAGAGTGTAAATAATGAATTTGGTCCTCCTCTAAACTTACACCAAATATCCTCACAGGCAGACAATGTATGGGAGCATTGGGTACATCTACATTAGTGATTCAATGGGTAGAAGGGATTCTTTTTGGTGGAAATCTGTCTTGTGTCTGTACTTTTTGCCTTGCAGGAGACACTGGAGCGTGCTAGCAGACTAACTTCCGCTATTGAAGGAATACACAACCTCATCATTAGCTTAAAAAGAACAACTTTGCAATTAAATAGCTTTTTGCAGCATATAATCATATTTTCATAACAGAACCCACAAGGATGTACTAATATTTTTATCAATTAATATTCAGAGACTTCAAATTGGGAATTTTCCATTTCTCTTGCTTCTGAAAATGAAAAAAACCTGAAAGATGCTAAATTACTTACACCCCCTCCAAAATAAAAATGCTTGCTTTGAAATCTAGTCACAAGCAGATTAACATCTTGTGATACAATCTCTTGTAGCAGGAGCAGCTGACAAGATGAGTAATAAACTGCATCCGATTATCTTTTCAGCTCTGTGGCAATCATTTTCCAACAGCTTCCTATTCCATAACCAACAACACTGGAAAGAGGTCACCATTCTGTCATATTTCCCCCCTGTTAGTGTATGTGTTTAGTAACGCAGAGAACACATAAACCTTTAGAAGTTAAGAGGTCTGGTACTGTTATCTGGGGCAAAACTGTTCCAGGTGCATAGTGCATATATAGAAATCCTACATAAAACATCCATACATAATTTAAAGCCTCTCAGAAGGAAATTGTTACACTTTAGCATATAATAGAATGCTATTTCCTCTTTTCATGCAGTATGTTCTTTCTTCAACAAAAGAACCTTAACTGTAATTGATGGTACCTAAAAGTCAGGACAGGCAAGATCCCAGTTGATATACACATACACATCATAGAATACAACTGAATTAAATCTATGAACATTAACTGCAAGCAATTGTAGGACTATAAGGGCAAAATACAATTTTCCCCCAAAAGCATATCCACTTAATTCACCATTTTTAAATTGATGGTGCTATCTGTTTGCAGCTTTATTTTGATCTGACAGCAGAGAAAATCTGCACATAAATAATACTCTGCACCACTACAAAATGGTGGGAAAGTTAAGATCAGCCACAGAACTGGCTATTTTTTCATAAAAATCTCTGTAAAAATGCTTCTATATCGAAACTACACTTACATAAACTAATAATCTACCAACCCAAACTGGGAATTAAAAATTGCTGCTCCTGTACCCAGTGACCACTTTATTCCCCAAAACTGATACAGTGGAGCAGGCACTCAGATGATTTGGTTGCCTCTACGCAACTCCTTGGGCAGCACAAAACAGTTGAGGTCTGTCTACCTCTTATCAATTCTTCGCTGTCAGAAATGAACTGAACAACTACCCAGTAACATAAACTGGGGCAACCCTCTGCTGTCTGACCTGCTGGACAGCTGGCCAGAACCTGGGGAATAGAAAGATGCTTCTGAAACACATACGGATTATAAGCACTTAACTACTTTTGAAAAATGTT